ATCTGTACATGTTTACAGTTAAATTATCAAATATAATGTATTTATCTGTTTCAAGGCTCTCAGAATATCAGTCGCTGAAGAGTCAGGTAGGAGGCTCAGGGCTACACAGTAATACAGTAGAAAACCAACATTAAATGTTTCTGACTTTCACCATTGTCATATAACAGAGTGGGGAGTGTTGACTTGCATTTAGAGCACTTCACTTGTGCTCTGAGAAGGTTGCAGGTATCCGGGTCGATCCCCACAGTCTGCACTCTGGGTCTCCGAGCAAGACCCTTAACCCCACACTGCTCTCCGGGTGCCGCACGATGGCAGCCCACTGTTTCCCAAGGGGGTGGGTTAAATGCAGAGGTAAATTTCTCCAGTGTGAGATCAATAAAGTTAAATTATTATTATAGAAGCTGTGTTTGAACCTCTACCCTTACCCTTAAATCTCTCAACCATTATATAGAGCAGGAACTATATAGTTAATTGACCCTTTAAACAGATGATTAATACTCTTTGCTCCACGTCAGTCACATACCTCCACCTCACCACATAGTGCCTGTGCCATCTTTGTTCTTTGTTGCCGCCACAACTAGTCCCATAATGCTTTGTGAGGAGATCTCTCTTTTTTTGCAGATAGGAAGGGTGCTAAATGCAGAAAAACACGTGTTAACCTGGTATTTTCAGTAGGAAAGAGGTTTAAGATTATTCAACGCAGTAAAAAGGTGTTTGCACAAAACAGATCCAACCCCATGCTTTCATATATTTTAGAATAATGTCTTGTAGGAATAAGTCAGGATCTTCTCACATTTTTATAGAGGAATTTAGTAGAACTCTTCTGTAAATGGCATTGGTTTATTTCTCACCACCCAGTTTCAGAACAGTAGCGGTCTTATGACTCAATGGCTGCAGTACTCCAATGTATGGTTACAAATCAAACCTAAATAATCACCCTTCCACTTCTGTGCTTCACCGTAGAGTTGGTTTGTGCAAATTCACAGACCTTTTTTCCCCAGATGTTTTCTCATGTCAAAAACGTAATCTAGTATTAAGTTTTTCTGAGTTTTAAACGGTTGGATCTTAGGGTGAAGTTGCAGGCCTCGTTTCTCCTGGGAATACTGGTTAAATTGGTGTGTTATAAATGGTCTTTAGCTTTCCAGATTAACACAAAGAAACAATTACAAAGAAACATTGCACTCCCGACAAGACTCTGGCTTTTGGGGACAGTCACTCTCTTGCAAGATAGATTCAATAAACACCCTTTTAGAATAAACTAAGTATTTCCAAGTGGATGGATTCACTGACCTGGGACCCAGTAAAACGCATCGGACTAACACCAGCAGATGGCATGGCTTTTCAGACCGTCAGTGACTGTGGAACTCTATTCGGATCACCAGGCGATTCTCATCAATCTTTCCTCCTGATTTAGGGTGACTGTGGCTCGGGAGGTAGGTTTTCATCCTAAAACCAGTAGTTTGTCAATTTCAGCAGCTTCTCTGTTGTCGTGTCCCTTGAAAAGACACTTGACCCACCTCGCCTGCTGTTGGTGGTCAGAGGGCTTGCTGGCACCCATATATGGCAAACTTGCTTCTGTCATCCTGCCCCAGGGCAGACGTGGTTACAGTATAGCTTTCCACATCAACATGTGGTAAGACACACTCACCTAGATACATTAATAAAGCACTTTAGAGTCCTCTGACTTAATAAAGTGCCATGTAGTGTGTAAAAAGAGAATGTATTTTTATCTCAAAGTAAACTCTGAACCCCTGAGTCCAGTTAATTTTGATGAGCTTTGATTCAGGAGTGGCTAGAATGCGGATGTAACCTTTGTAGGCCATGTCCTGGACACCTCTGTGTATGGTAACTCTTTAAAACAGATTCTAGCTGCAGTGTTTGTATCGAAATCCACTCCAGGTAACAGTTAACCCTGTTGGTTTTGAATGTGTTTATTTTTCCTTTTCCCTTTCATTTAGGAAGTTCTCAGTTGTTGACTATAATACAAACAATTTTGGTTAAAATCCTTTAAAACCCCAACTAAAAAGACTCCAAATTTTGTTTTCCAACCACTTAACTTTCCGTAAAGGTTCAGACAGAGCCCTCTGAAAATTCAGCTTATATAGCAGTGACTTTGTGTGACTCATTCTCTTTCGAGGACATCAGTTAAGGCCTGCTGGACATTAAGTCTAGTTCTTACCATGACTGAATGGCTAATGTTGAAAAATGCCTGAATTATTAACAAATCATTCATTTATTTTTCCTATGTTATTCAGACATTTTTAAGAAGGGTTATAGATAGCTGTAATCAACATTAAGAGATATATTATAGAAAAACCTTAAAATTCTATTTATGTGTGACTACATGCATCTGGTTGTATTTCTATTAGCTAACAGGGACACACAGCTAGGCAGGTGCATGAATAAAAGCGGCAAAAACACCAACCAAATCCTAAAGGCATCGTTTGCTGGGTATGAACTACTGTGTTCCTCAGCTTGTATTATGGCCAATGTGACGATCAACTGGAGTGACAGCAGCTTTCTAGAAGCATCATCTGCAGCTGATAAGACAAGTTGTAGCCTGAAAACAAACCACACACACACATACACACATTGTATTTGCACAAGAAGCACCAACGTTGCTCAGATTAGTCATCCAGGTATGGTTTATTGTTCTCCAAAGTGCACTGACACAACACAGAGCATGAACAAAAGTGAGCACAATAAATAAAAATTTCCAGCAATGATGCCTCTAGTAAAAAAACAAAACACACATAATAAAACAATCATTTTACAATGTATTTCACCATGTTTAGTGAAGACAGAAAAAGGGTTTTTATTTACAGTAGAGACATGTTTATGATGCCTCACTGCTGAAAATTCTGAAAACTTCAGTTTATGATGATAAAGTGAACCTTGAATAAATCTTTAATAGTGTTGTAGAC